GTCGCCAGAGAGCTTGATCTGGAACCTGCCCGCCTTGGCCCTGCCCTTGCCGCCGCCCCTGCCCTTCCCGGAGCCCTTGCCGCTGGGCTTCACCGGCGCCGGCGCCGGCGCCGTCAGCATCGTGGGCGAAGGGGGCGCCTTGGCCGCCGCGGGCAGCGCTGCGCCGGCCTGCTTGCTCCCGCTGCAGCCCATCTTCGGCGGTGGCGAGGCCTGGCTGCAGCGGGCGCCTTGGGGGGCTGCTGGCTGGCTATAGGGGGTGCGGCGCCCGCACCAGAGTCAGAGACGGCCTGAGTCAGAATGGCTGCGGGCACAGCCGCGATCACCATCACATGCGAGTAGGCTTCGAGCAGGCTTTGTTAGCACTGCAGCAGCACGTGCAACGAATGAGTGCGAGCATGGAGGCCTGGCATCCGACGCACTGCACCATCAACAGGAACGGGTCCTAGGCCTGTGTCTGGATAGGAAGGACGCTTATACGATGATTGTGTTCACTGGGGTCCAGGCGATTGACAATGTGAGGTTGCTCCCGCCTTGTAGACCCCGACATGGGATCCAAAATCCCACCAGCACTCGAAGCAGAGGAGTTATAGCCATTTGCTTTCTTCCATCTTCCAAGACCTTTTCCTCCCCCATTCGGGGCTTCTCACTGTTCCTCATTAACAAGCACCCCATCCCTCTCCAGCGACAAACCCGAGTCATCCCTTGCAACAGAAAACAATACAGAAGGCATAAGGCACCAACATCTGGATCACGCGCGGACATCTCGAGATCATTTTGCATCATTGTTTTGACAGAGGCGGCCAGGGTGCCGGCATGTTGCCTGCTGTGTGAGATGCCAACGCCCCCCACCATACCTTGCAAAAAAAGACCAGGCAACGTGCACTTTGCAACAACATCTGGATCATGCGCGGAAGCCACGCGTTCACTTTGCAAAGGTTTTTGACAGGGACGGCGGATGTGTCGGCATATTGCCTGCTGTGTGCAATGCACCCAGCCCCCCATCCCTTGCAACAAAACACTAGCCTGGCGAAAAAAACAACCATATGAAGTTGTGAATGCCGCAGTTGTGGGTATCGCCTTCAGTGAAGCTCCCTATGGGCCACGACACGCTGTAAAAGGGCGGGGGATACGCATTTGAACTTTGCCAGTGGGGCCTTCGGTGGAGCCCCTTGTGGGCCACGAAACGCTGTACTGTGTTGGAGAGACGCATGTGAACGGGTCCATTCGGGCATTCGGGGCTGCGAAACGCTGTACTGGGTGGGGGAGATGAATGTGAACGGTTCCGCTGGGGCCTTCGGGACCACGAAACGCTGTACTGGGTAGGGGAAGCGCATGTGGACACCGCCGATTGGGGCCTTAAGTGGACCTCCCACGAAACGGAGACGCATGTGGACGGTGCCATTGAGGCCTCAAGTGGAGTTCCCTACGGGGCCACGGAACGCTGTACTGAGCGGGGGAGACGCATGTGAATGGGTCCAGTGGGACCTTCGGCGAACTCCATTTTGGGGCCAGGTAGCACTGTACTGGGCGGGGGAACACATGCGAGTGCAGCCACTCGGGCCTTCTGTGAAGCTCCCTATGGGGCCACGAAGCGCCGTGCTGGGCGGGGGAGACGCATGTGGACACCGCCACTGGGGCCTTCGGTGGAGTTCCTTATGGGGCCAAGAAGCGCCGTACTGTGGGGGAGACGCATGTGAACACCGCCACTGGGGCCTTGGATGGACTTCCCTATGGGGCCACGAAGCGCTGCACCAGGTGGGGGAGACGCATGTGGACACCGCCAGTGGGGCCTTCGGTGGAGCTCCGTATGGGGCCACGAAACGCCGCGCGTTGGGTGGGGGAGGCGCATGTGGACACCGTCGCTGGGGTCTTCAATGGCGCGCCCTATGGGCGGGCCACGGAACGCCGTGCTGGGGGGGACACGCATGTGGACGCTGCAACTGGGGCCTTCGGTGGAGCTCCCTATGGGAGCCACGAAACGCCGTATTGTGTGTGTGTGTGTGTGTGTGTGTGTGTGTGTGTGTGTGTGTGTGTGTGTGTGTGTGTGTGTGTGTGTGTGTGTGTGTGTGTGTGGGGAGACTTATCTGGACACCGCGCTTCGGTGGAGCTCCTTATGGGGCACGAAAGGCAGTGCTGGGTGGGGACACGCATGTGGACACCACCACTGGGACCTTCTGTGAACACCCAATGGGGCCAGGAACCTGTATTGAGGGGGGAACGCATGCGATTGCAGCCATTCGGGCCTTAGGTGGAGCTCCCTGTGGGGCCACCAAACGCCGTGCTGGGCGGGGGAGACGCATGTGGACACCGTCACTGGGGCCTTCGGTGCCGCTCCCTATGGGGCCACGAAACGCTGTACTGGGTGGGGGAGACGCATGTGGACAGCGCCACTGGGACCTTAGGTGGAGCTCCGTATGGAGCCACGAAGCGCTGTACTGTGTGAGGGAGACGCATATGGGCATCGCCGCTGGGGCCTGAGGTGGAGCTCCCTACGTGGCCACGAAACGCCGTAGTAGGTGGGGGAGACGCATGTGGACAGCGCCACTGGGACCTTAGGTGGAGCTCCCTATGTGGCCACGAAACGCCGAGGACATGCGCACGGCAGAGGCAGGGATGGGAGGAGGGAGGAGAGGGAGGAGGAAGGAAGGAGGGAGGGAAAGCGGGAGGGAAGGAACGCGGGGACCGTCTCTCCAAAACGACGACCCAACACCACAGGACGGCTGGGAACACCGGCCGTGTTACAAAAATCCGATGGGGGGCTAGCAGGGTCATTTCGTGGGGGCCCGCACCGAAGGTGACACCATCGTGTAGGCGCGTGCTCTGTCTCCCCTGCTTCCGGGGGGGGGTCATCCCGGAAGTCCTCCGTCCACCTCGTCCGCCTCGTCCCTCTCCTGTTTCTCCCCTTTCTCCCCACATGCTACTCCTAGTCCTGCTCCCTCTCTTCCTCTTCCTCGTAATTCCCCTCTATCTTCTCCTCCTTCCACCTTCTCCTCTCCCTCCCCGTCCCCGGTACCTTGTTCACCTCCGTCTCGCTCATCCCGCCCATCGTAAGAACCCCTCTTTGGATTTTGACGCCCACGGCTGTTCGGGACAGCGCAGGCCTGCATCTTAATAAAGTAGAGCTGTCGCATACCCCAGTGACATGCACGCCCTGCACTCGACAACCCTATCAACACCACTTAGAATCCTTGCGGCTGCGGCATACGTATTCCGAGTGTGCGTGGATATGCCCTGAGATTGCGATATCAAAGGCCAGCTCAGATGTTGTTGTTTCGCACGTCTTGTGCTCCAAGTCCGACGCTGTGCCCCCGCGGATCCCGCAGCCCTTCCCCGGCTCAATACTGGTTGAAGAAGCACATGAAAGGTCGAGGTTTCCATCTATGTGCTTCCCCACGTCTCTCCTCCAGACAGCTCTCACGGGCATCGATTCTTGATGGACTGGTGGAGATACTTTTTTTTGGTCGGCGGCTCCAGGACGAAGGTCAAGAAGCGGGGCAACGTTCGGGGCGCTGAACGAAGATAATTAGCCGCAGCGGCGAGTGCACATGCAAGGGAAAAACTGGTGGAGATACGCGAAGCGTCAATAATTGAGTCCAGGCATGGCCCAACCACACACATTCCCATTGCCAAAGCTTCTTGGGGCTTCTGGGAGCATGTGGGCCTGAAGAAATCCCCAAGACTGCCGAAGTGAGCGCCAGGAGGCATTCACGACGCGCTAGAACTCCTGAAATACGATCTGGGCCAGAAGAGGCCACGGCGTAGACCACCCAAGAGTGCCCATATGGCAGACAGGGAGCTTCAACAGGGCGTAACTATCCCCAACACGCTCAACATCAGCAAGCTAAAGAGGCATCGATATCCGTCGCGCGAAAGGACAGTGAGCCAAAGGACGAACGGCATCATTGCAATTTCCACATGCGTGAGCAAGGCTTTGCAGGCACGTCGTCCTATGTCAGAGCACGCTGTGACGAGGCACAACGGCCATTGAGCCAGGGAAAGCACAACGATAAATTTCGCAAGGTTGGATCGTATTGTTGAGGCCCGTGGGGCAGACGAGACTCGGAAGCAAACTATCTCGATCACGCGGGCCTCAAAACACAACTCCTCCCGGCCAGAATCCACTCAAGCTTGTGCGCCGACCCCTCCCCGGCACCCTCTTGGCCACTTCCCGAGCAGAGCCCAGCAGAGGCCGCGATGCCCCATCCCGCAGGCAAAATGTGTGCGCAAGCTGCGTGCAGGTCAACCCGCCCCAGCCCCCCCTGAGGAGGCGCGCGGGCATCTCGGACAGGGCAGCATAAGCGTGGAGGTCACAACGAAGGAAGCCCTCTCCCGTCGGCACGTAATATCAAGGATGCGCCAGAAGGATGCAAGGGCCCCATGGAAGGCCATCTCGAAGCTTTTTGTTCCCAGCGGGGCGCGGCCAACACACGTGGCCACGGATGGACCGAGGAGGCAAGGATGCAATGTGACCGGAAGCTCGCCCATCCTTACCATGAGGGTTGACTGCATGCGGAGAGGGGGCAGGTGGCCACGCGCGAGCGGTGCCACCGCGCCTCTCCCCTCCGGAGGCCTCCGCGGCTCCCCTGGGGACCCAATGGAGCCCCAAGGCGCCATGAGCGCGAGAAGCAATACAGCGCATCCAAGGCGCTGCACCACCGCGGCGCAGGAGTCCAGAGCTTTGTTCTCTCCCGCCGCAGGCTCCCGCTCGAGGGCAGCAGCTGCAGCGTAGGTTGCAAAAAAAGGGTGCGGGAGCCTGCCTCCGCAGGCCCCCATGGCAGCCTGGCCCGAGGCCTTATGCAGGGACCCGGCGCGAGTCGGGGAGGAAGGCGGAAGCCGAGGCCCGTCCTGCTTAGAGGCTCCGGACGCTCGGCCAAGACGCGGCGCGGCCCTTTAGGCGCGCCCAGGGAGAGGGGGCGTACCCCGCACTGGGAGCTCATGGCCGCTCCCGGCGGCTCGCACAGGAGGAGGAGGGTGGTGAGCAAGAGGCCTGGCGCGGTCCTTTAGGCGCGCCAGGGCCGACTACCGAGCACGGTGCGGGCCTGGCGCCTAGAACAGGCTGGTGACAAAGTCCCCGACGTCGTCCGCGGCGCCCTCGAGCCAGTCCACCGAATCCTCGAGGGCGCCCTCCGCCCACTCCCCCGCGCCCTCGGCCCAGTCGGCGACGTCCTCGGCGGCCCCCGTGGCCCACTCGCCGGCGTCCTCGGCGGCGCCCGCCGCCCACTCGCCCGCGTCCTCTGCGGCCCCGGGCGCCCAGTCGGCGACGTCCTCGGCGTACCCCTCGGCCGCGTCGGCGACCCCGAGGTGCCCGCCCGTGAGGTGGTCTCCGAGGACGACGCCGCCCACCGCCAGGGCGCCCACCGCAGCGACGCCGCCGACGCCCAGCGCGAGCCGTGCGGCGGCGCCGTGCTTCTGCTGCTTCTCCGCCACGGCCGCCACGGACTCCCCGACCTCCGGCACGGGCACCGCCATCTTCTGGCCCGCCTTGGCCCCCGGCGGGACGTTCACCTTGATCTTCCTGCCCCTGTTGTTGGGGTCGTCGAGCTCGATCTCCTTCCCGGCCTGGCCCTTCCGCACCGTGATCACGACCATCGGGCCCGCGGGGAGCAGCGGCGCTGACGGCTGCGGCATGTTCATGGGCGGCCGGATGTCGCGGACCTTCTTCGTGCCCAGGTTCGTCTGCGTCATGTTCTGGAAGCTGTACTCGTAGCTCTGGCCCCGCAGCTGGAACCGGCAGTTCTTCTGCCCGACGAGGTAGGCCTTCTTCAGGACGGCGTCCTCCTCTGGCTCGTAGTCCTTGAAGTCGCCAGAGAGCTTGATCTGGAACCTGCCCGCCTTGGCCCTGCCCTTGCCGCCGCCCCTGCCCTTCCCGGAGCCCTTGCCGCTGGGCTTCACCGGCGCCGGCGCCGGCGCCGTCAGCATCGTGGGCGAAGGGGGCGCCTTGGCCACCGCGGGCAGCGCTGCGCCGGCCTGCTTGCTCCCGCTGCAGCCCATCTTTGCTGCGGTGGCGAGGCCTGGCTGCAGCGGGCGCCTTGGGGGGGCTGCTGTCTGGCTAGGGGGTGCGGCGCCCGCACCAGAGTCAGAGACGGCCTGAGTCGGAATGGCTACGGGCACAGCCGCGATGACCGTCACATGCGAGCAGGCTTTGCGCAGGCCTTGTGAGTACTGCAGCAGCACGTGCAACGAATGAGTGCGAGCATGGAGGCCTGGCATCCGACGCACTGCACCATCAACAGGAACGGGTCCTAGGCCTGTGTCTGGATAGGAAGGACGCTTATACGATGATAGTGTTCATTGGGGTCCAGGCGATTGACAATGTGAGGTTGCTCCCGCCTTGTAGACCCCCACATGGGATCCAAAATCCCACCAGCACTCGAGGCAGAGGAGTTGTAGCCATTTGCTTTCTTCCACCTTCCAAGACCTGTTCCTCCCCCATTCGGGGCTTCTCACTGTTCCTCATTAACAAGCACCCCCTCCCCCTCCAGCGACAAACCCGAGTCATCCCTTGCAACAAAAAACAATACAGAAGGCATAAGGCACCAACATCTGGATCACGCGCGGACATCTCGAGATCATTTTGCATCATTGTTTTGACAGAGGCGGCCAGGGTGCCGGCATGTTGCCTGCTGTGTGAAATGCCAACGCCCCCCACCATACCTTGCAAAAAAGACAAGGCAACGTGCACTTTGCATCAACATATGGATCATGCGCGGGCGCCACGCGATCACTTTGCACAGGTTTTTGACAGGGACGGCGGATGTGTCGGCATATTGCCTGCTGTGTGCAATGCCCCCGACCCCCCCCCATCCCTTGCAACAAAACACTAGACTGGCGAAAGAACCACCCATATGCAGTTGTGAATACCGCAGTTGTGGGTATCGCCTTCAGTGAAGCTCCCTATGGGCCACGACACGCTGTAAAAGGGCGGGGGATACGCATTCGAACTTTGCCAGTGGGGCCTTCGGTGGAGCCCCTTATGGGCCACGAAACGCTGTAATGTGTTGGGGAGACGCATGTGAACAGGTCCATTCGGGCCTTCGGGGCTGCGAAACGCTGTACTGGGCGGGGGAAATGAATGTGAACGGTTCCGCTGGGGCCTTCGGGGCCACGAAACGCTGTACTGGGTAGGGGAAACGCATGTGGACACCGCCGATGGGACCTTAAGTGGACCTCCCACGAAACGGAGACGCATGTGGACGGTGCCATTGAGGCCTCAAATGGAGTTCCCTACGGGGCCACGGAACGCTGTACTGAGCGGGGGAGACGCATGTGAATAGGTCCAGTGGGATCTTCGGCGAACTCCATTTTGGGGCCAGGTAGCACTGTACTGGGCGGGGGAACACATGCGAGTGCTGCCACTCGGGCCTTAGGTGGAGCTCCCTATGGGGCCACGAAGCGCCGTGCTGGGCGGGGGAGACGCATGTGGACACCGCCACTGGGGCCTTCGGTGAAGCTCCTTATGGGGCCACGAAGCGCCGTACTGTGGGGGAGACGCATGTGGACACCGCCACTGGGGCCTTGGATGGACTTCCCTATGAGGCCACGAAGCGCTGCACCAGGTGGGGGAGACGCATGTGGACACCGCCAGTGGGGCCTTCGGTGGAGCTCCGTATGGGGCCACGAAACGCCGCGCGTTGGGTGGGGGAGGCGCATGTGGACACCGCCACTGGGGTCTTCAATGGCGCGCCCTATGGGCGGGCCACGGAACGCCGTGCTGGGGGGGGACACGCATGTGGACGTTGCCACTGGGGCCTTCGGTGGAGCTCCCTATGGGAGCCACCAAGCGCCGTATTGTGTGGGGGAGACTTATCTGGACACCGCCACTGGGGGCTTCGGTGGAGCTCCTTATGGGGCACGAAACGCAGTGCTGGGTGGGGACACGCATGTGGACACCACCACTGGGACCTTCTGTGAACACCCAATGGGGCCAGGAACCTGTATTGGGGGGGGAACGCATGCGATTGCAGCCATTCGGGCCTTAGGTGGAGCTCCCTGTGGGGCCACCAAACGCCGTGCTGGGCGGGGGAGACGCATGTGGACACCGTCACTGGGGCCTTCGGTGAAGCTCCCCATGGGGCCACGAAGCGCTGTACTGGGTGGGGGAGACGCATGTGGACAGCGCCACTGGGACCTTAGGTGGAGCTCCCTATGGAGCCACGAAGCGCTGTGCTGTGTGAGGGAGACGCATGTGGGCACCGCCGCTGGGGCCTTAGGTGGAGCTCCCTACGTGGCCACGAAACGCCGTCGTGGGTGGGGGAGGCGCATGTGGACACCGCCACTGGGACCTTAGGTGGAGCTCCCTATGTGGCCACGAAACGCCGAGGACATGCGCACGGCAGAGGCAGGGATGGGAGGAGGGAGGAGGGGGAGGAGGAAGGAACGAAGGAAGGAGGGAGGGAAGGCGGGAGGGAAGGAACGCGGAGACCGTCTCTCCAAAACGACGACCCAACACCACAGGACGGCTGGGAACACCGGCCGTTTTACAAAAATCCGGTGGGGGCTAGCAGGGTCATTTCGCGGGGGCCCGCACCGAAAGTGACACCATCATCTAGGCGCGTGCTCTGTCTCCCCGGCTTCCAGGGGGGGGTCATCCCGGAAGTCCTCCTCGCCCGCCTCGTCCGCCTCGTCCCTCTCCTCGTTCTCTCCCTCTTCTCCCCATGTGCTACTCCTGGTCCTGGTCCCTCTTCCTCTTCCTCGTAATTCCCCTCCTTCTCCTCTTCCTTCCACCTTCTCCTCTCCCTCCCCGTCCCCGGTACCTTGTTCCACCTCCGTCTCGCTCATCCCGCCCATCGTAAGAACCCCTCTTTGGATTTTGAAGCCCACGGCTGTTCGGGACAGCGCAGGCCTGCATCTCAATAACGTAGATCTGTCGCATCCTCCAGGGACATGCACGCCCTGCACTCGACAACCCTATCAAAACGACTGAGAATCCTCGCGGCTGCGGCATACGCATTCCGAGTGTGCGTGGATATGCCCCGAGATTGCGATATCAAAGGTCAGCTCAGATGTCGTTGTTTCGCACGTCTTGTGCTCCAAGTGCGACGCTCTGCCCCCGCGGATCCCGCAGCCCTTCCCCAGCTCAATACTGGTTGAAGAAGCACATGAAAGGTCGAGGTTTCAATCTATGTGCTTCCCCACGTCTCTCCTCCAGACAGCTCTCACGGGCATCGATTCTTGATGGACTGGTGGAGATACTTTTTAGTCAGCGGCCGCAGGCGAAGGCGCCGACGGCGTGTCCAGTCAGAGCGGGGCGCGAAAAGACGAATTAACCTAAAGCCAATGGGCCGAAGCCTCACGCGGCACCTCGGCGGCCAGGCCGGCGAGTGGAGGCAGGCTGCTGACGGCGGCTGCCAGGGTAGCTGCACTGCCAGGGGTGCACGCATGCATCGAGCTGCGAGGGACAGGCGGGAACAGAGCGACGGGCGAGGCGACAACTAAGCGCGGCCGAAGCCTCAGATGGAGAGCTGCCGGGACTGAGCTGGGGGGGTATGCCGCGTGCACAGCAGCAAGCCAGTGACTGGTGGAAATACGCGAAGCGTCAATAATTGAATCTAGGGATGGCCCAACCACGCACATTCCCATTGCCAAAGCTTCTTGGGGCTTCTGGGAGCATGTGGGGCTGAAGAAATCCCCAAGACTGCCGAAGTGAGCGCCAAGAGGCATTCACGACGCGCTAGAACTCCTGAAATACGATCTGGGCCTGAAGAGGCCACGGAGACCACCCAATAGAGTGCCCATATGGCCCACAGGGAACTCCAAGAGGGCGAACATATCCCCAACACGCTCAACATCAGCAAGCTAAAGAGGCATCGATATCCGTCGCTCGAAAGGACAGTGAGCCAAAGGACGAACGGCATCATTGCAATTGCCACATGCGTGAGCAAGGCTTTGCAGGTACGTCGTCCTATGTCAGAGCACGCTGAGACGAGGCACAACGGCCATTGAACCAGGGAAAGCACAACGATAAATTTCGCAAGGTTGGATCGTATTGTTGAGGCCCGTGGGGCAGACGAGACTCGGAAGCAAACTATCTCGATCACGCGGGCCTCAAAACACAACTCCTCCCGGCCAGAATCCACTCAAGCTTGTGCGACGACCCCTCCCAGGCACCCTCTTGGCCACTTCCCGAGCAGAGCCCAGCAGAGGCCGCGATCCCCCCATCCCGCAGGCTAAATGTGTGCGCAAGCTGCGTGCAGGTCAACCCGCCCCAGCCCCCCCTGAGGAGGCGCGCGGGCATGTCGGACAGGGCAGCAAGCGTGGAGGTCCCA